AAGTTTTCTTTGTCATCATTTCTGTCGTTAAGTTTTACCTTGCAAGTAAATAACACCGAGTAATTATCATTCTGTGTTTTCTTCTTCAACTTATCACAGCAATAGTAACAACAATTAGGTTGTCGCGGGCCGGATTGATGACACTGGCGGGCCGGATTTGGCTCGCGGGCCGTAGTTTGGAGACCCCTGGTTTAATGCTGTGAAATAAAAGGTACAATATAAATTCCCACACATTATTTTGATAGGCTATATCTTGAAAACTAATTTAGTCTGACTAAAAATTAAGAGTGTTCTGAATTCTTACCATCATGTAGTATCATCCCAGAAAAAATCGCGAAAATCCGTGAGTATCCCATAAAGTACAATTTTCCCAAAAAAGTTTCTGAAAATGTACTTATATGCTTTATCCTCCTATGCTNAGAAAACATATTTTTATAGATTTTTTTTTGTTTACAGTAAAATGTGATTTTTCCAGAGTCGAGTCAGTAATTTTCAGCTACCCTAAAAAAGGAACTTAGACCTAAAAGTGACTTGAAGAGACACACTCTGCATAATACATCTGGGTAATGAAAGAGGACTAGTGTTAAGTTTTCGAGTCAATGGAATACCCAAAAAATTCAAGCGTTATCTAAATTGTAATTTTCTGATATAATTATTGATATGTTGAGTGTGCCCAAACAACTTATGATGAAATATATATGTTTTGTAGACTTTTTTCTCAACCTGTGAAAATAACAACTTTATGAGGCGTAAAATTAGATGACTAGTAGTCGTTTGCGATATAGTACGAATTTCCACATTGAAATTACCCGACTAATAACAGTTGACTTTCATAATATTTCTAATTCAGTTATGCAAATACGTTGACAGGGTTACGTGTGATTCGTAGTCATTTTTTACAAAAAAAAATCTCGAAGTAAACACTGATCGAAGACTGTCAAAAATGTTGTCAAATAGAAGTTAATGAAATGCCTAGAAAAAGTAAAGAAGTTCACGAATGTACCTTATCAAGTAAGCTTATGAACAAAACCTTATATCCTCTGCCTCCCAATGCATCACATACGGCCAGATTTCTTCGAGTTATTCGGACATTATGTAGCATGGATCCGAAGAACGTCAAAAGTAAGGACTTTTTCCGAAATAAGTCCACCATGTTCGGAGAGCAAAAAAGACACGCAAAGAAACACTATAGGTTCGTGATACACCCTTTCAGTAAACTGAACAATGTTATCAAAGTTGTGTTTTTCATTTCCTGGTTGTGGCGATTTTATAGTGTGCCCGTAATGTACGGATTTTTTTTTCGATGGATGCACACTTTTTTAGTTATAGATATCATCATTAACATTCTGCAGTACTTGATATTCATCTCATTTTTCTTCGTGGGATATGTAGTCAGCAAGAAGAAAGAAATAATCATTGAACCCAGGAAAATCCTTTTCCATTATTTGAAGACGTATTTTATTTTTGATGTGATTGCTGTATTTTATGATGATATAGTGTCAGTCTACAAGCACAGTGAAAATCTACTGGGGGAATATTATATGTATAATTATTTCGCTTCTGTAGTAGTGATGTTCGCATACTTCACAAGATTCAAATATTTTATGGGTGTTCTAGAAGACATTATAAAAATGCTCCACTTATCGAAAACTGTATTCAGTTTACTGTTTCACCTTTTTGTTGTGAGTATTACCATACATATTTTCACCTGCGAATTGTTTTTATTACCAAAAATTTTTTATGGAGAAACATTTCCCAACGATTCTTGGATGGTTGAAGCTGGAGTTGATAAAATTAGTGAGGTACCATTTGTAAACCTCTACACAGAAGCTCTGATGATAACAGTGTGTTTCTATTTTGGAGCATCGCACGATAAATATGCATTCACTTGTCCCGAAGAGGAAATTGTTCTGACAGTTATAAGCATATTTGGTCGCTTGTACACTCTATATATGATAGCGGATTTATTGAAAATGTTCGGGCTAGTTGGAATTTCTGAAAGTAAATACGAACAATACTTGGGTCAACTAGAAGAATATATGAGCTCTAAAAATTTACCAGATGAATTGAGAATTAGACTGCTGAAGTACTACGAATACAAACTTCAGAAACATTATTTTAACGAGAACCAAATTCTTGCCACGCTGTCTGAACATTTGAGAATAGAAATGTTTTTGTTTGGAGCAAGAAAGCTCATTGAGAAAGCACAACTACTCAAAACACTACCCAGAACAACTCTTGCTTCATTATTCGCTTCTATGAGTACAGAAACGTTCATGCCGACTGATATTATAACAAAAGCAGGTCAACCTGTCGAAGATGTGTACTTCATATCATCAGGAACAGTTGCTGTTGTCAACGCCGCAAATACAGAAATAACCCACTTGGAAGATGGAGATGAGTTTGGATTTTTGGTTACTGAGGATGGCAAACTAATTTACACTCATATTGCTGTTGAAACATCAGAAATTTATTATATATCGAAGAAACTGTTTTTGGAGTTTTTGGGGGCACATCCAGAAATCTTCAAATATTTTGAAAACAAGGTGAAGAAGAGAATTGAGAAATTCGATTCGATTGAAACAACTTTGCTTCTGGGCGGAAACGACATTTTGTCCTCATTGAGATCTGGAAAACTTCTAGAGAGACAAGCTGTTAGATCAGTGAATTTTGAATTCGAAAACTGACTCAGTTATTTATTTTTCTTGTTTTTCATTTGATGAAATATTTTATTTTGAGCTTTTGCTACTATTTATATGAAATACATTAATATTTTCTCTATCTGGTTTTATTTCAATATTCACGAGTAATAATGAAATTTAATTCAATTCGAGCTGTTTGGGCATTTACCTATTTGGTAAAAATGGAATTAAGTTTCGATAACACCGCTGTGGGTTTGAAAGAGATCCACGCAGTTGAACGTTAGTACTTAAAAAAGTCAATCACTGAAAGGAGTGTGAAACTGAAAAATATAGAGAATGTACGAGCCGGTGGTTTTACTTATTGAAAATTGTGAATTATTATTATGTTCTAAAACGTTTCCCTAAACTGATTACATGGTAATGTGAAATTTTTTTTTGTCTTGGAATGTCTTCTTACAAGATTCTCTGTATTTGAGATAAAAAATTAGTCTAATGAAACTTCTGATGAGTGTCCCCAAATGGTAATATTTATATCAAGCTTAGAATACACTAGACCAAGAGATTGTTAAGAAGGCAGAATACTTTTTTTTCAGAGACGTGCACAAGTATTCGATGTGATTATTGAAAGACAATTTATTGTCAAGTTGTGTTCCAAAGAATTTTTTATATTTTGTTGTTTCGAAACCTAAATTTATTTGGAGAGGGCGCTGATTCTCACTTGAAAACTGGATAAATGTTGTTTTATCTTTATTATTTATTAACTGATTGTTGCTACACCAACATTTGAATTAATTGATTACTAGTTTCGTTTTATTTTCAATTTCATTTAGATCTGGGGACGTCACAATGATTGTTGTGTCATCGGCAAACATGAAAACTCGACCCTCTTTTATGTTTTCGGGTAGTTCATTAACATGAAGTAAGAATAATAGTGGTCTAAGCACCCCTTCCTGTGGGGGATCCAGATTCATATCAAATTGATCTGAATAATTGTCGTTGACTTTAACGACTATTTTCCTATTACTCACATAAGATTCATACCACTTATTGATTGACCCTCTTATCCCCATTTTTTAGAGTTTTTACTTAAATACTTCGGGTTGATTGTTTCAAATGCTCGGCTTAGATCAAAAAATATACCAACTATATAGTATCCTTTGTTTATGCCATCAAAAATATATTGGATCATATCAGTTGATGCTGTTTCGATTGCAAATTTTTTTTCGATTGAAAATTTTTTGTTGCAAAAAACTTACCGTTCTGTTGTAAACTGCTTTTTCCATAGCTGTGGGATACCCATTTTTATAAACCGGTACGACTTTTGAAATTTTTAGTTGGTTTAGAAAAATACCTTCCTCTACTGATTTATGGATCAGGGTAGTTAAGTTTTTTGCCAAGTTAGCACAACCTCCAAATACTTTCATAGGAATCTCGTCAACACCTGCTGTCGTTTTGTTTTTGAAACTCATTATTATAGTTTCCATTTCTGAGTTACTGTAAGGAATAAAATACATGGAACTACATGATGAGTCATGTATGAAGGAAAATCGGTTCTGAGGTAAATCTAATGTTTTGATTTTTTCTTTTGAGAAATATTTGCCCATTGTGTTCGGTAATGAGACCTCAATATCGCTGCAGTCTAATTTAATTTCTATTTGCATCTTATTTTCTTTAGTTTTTACCATTTTTTCATCAACCAACGTCCAAAGGGTTTTTTGTTTGTTCGATGAATTCAGTATGTTTTGGGTATGAAAACGTTGCTTTTCTAGGACTATATTAATGTTTATTAAGTTTTTTTCATATTTATATTGAGCTT